CAAATAGTATTATAATATTATAAATATTTATAACTAAATTTAAACAGAAACTTAAATAACTCGACTCGACTTGAAAAAATTTCAAATCAAGTTTGATTTATAAAATAGAATTCATCAACTCGAATAACTTAAAAAAAATTACTCGACTTGATCAAACGAGCACCCTATAACATTTAACGTATAAAACTAGAGGATCAAATGTCAAATCAAGGTATACAGACTAAATATCAAATTCAGACGTGGAAGAGGGACAGAAATCATAATATGACAAAAATATTCTGTTGTAAAACATATTATTTCTCAGGCTATTATTTCCTTGATGGGAAACAAAGAAGAAGAAGCTCTTCAACATTGGAAAAACTTCAAAGAAACTCAGAACCAGACGACCCCACCGGGCTTCGAAGAAGATGAGTTCACTGAGTTAAAAAATGCAGTCAATCTACTTAAACAAGACATTGATTCTGCAACACAGTAAATTTACCAAAGCTTCATTTATATATATAAAATTCTACTATAGTACCTGTATTATGTATAAACTATGGATTTAATCATTGTACTCTTATTCGATTAATTTTAATCTACACAACTTTTAAAATCTGACAATTTAATCATGACTCAAATAATATATAGACAATATAATTCATTTATCTTATATAAATTTATCAAATCGAAGAACATAAATTACATCTAAAAGTAATCTATAATATAGAGATTGTTGACATAATTTAAATTAATAAATTTTATAACTACTATTTAATGAGATATTTTAATAATACATGTGTAAAATGGCTTAGGAATACAACTTAATTTCATCCTTAAATGCTATTGTATCAAAAGTTTACTAAATCAAGGCTAATGAATTAATATATATTTCGACTCTACGATTGTCATACGATGGAATATGGATCAAGTCAAGATAATATTAAAATTTTGATTTGAATTTTGTCGATTTATGAAAAATAAAATTAAGAAAAACAAAAGAATAAAGAAAGAGAAATATTTTAGTATTAGTGTTTAGTTATATTGCAAACGTTGATCAACGGTGATTAAGTGACAGTAAAAAAAGGATATTAATCATAATAAAGAATGATAAAATTTTAGATTTATTTCATAGATAAAACTTCCGATATTGCAGCATTTTGGTACTGTCGTTAACCAATTCATGATCGGTTGATACAAAAATGAATTTCGAAAGTTGAGAGATAAAATTAAATTTTTTAAAAGTTGGATAGTTAAAAAAGAAATAACGTGAAAGTAGAGTGACTAAATGAGTAGCTTACCCAAAAAAGTTATAAAGACGACATCGTCTGACAAAAGCACCCTTTGGATATAAAACAAGGATGGAAGAAACTAGATAGAGCAATAACTAAGAAGGGCGGGAGGGTTTTGATTCTTCGTCGGTTTAATCAAAGCCTTTTCTCTTTGCCCTTTTTACCTCTATCCAATAATGGACCGCCACGGGGATCCTACCCCCGCCGCCGCCGACGACGACTCCATTCGGCGTTCTCCGCTGGATGATCCTCTTGATTTCATTCCCGTCGGATCACCGGAAGAGGAGATTTTATATCCGCCGACCGATGAGGATCACGACCCTGACCATAACGGTCACCGAAATGATGATGAACACGGTCAGGTTCACGATCAGAATCCCGAGGTCTATTCTGCGACTGATGTACTTACGGATGATCTCAAAAAGAAGATCATTAAGCAGGTAAGAGGCACAAAATGTTTCTCTTTGGTCGTTTGGCATTTAAACCCTAGAATTTGTTCTGCCTTTTTGCGTATTTCTTTTTGTTCTTCTATATTCTTTTAGATGAATTTTCTTGATCTATATGCATTATGGTTGTTTCTGTAGGCGGAATATTATTTTAGCGATGAAAAGTTGCCCACGGATAAGTATATGATGGGTCTGATTAAGAGGAACAAAGAAGGATTTGGTAAGTAATTAAACCCGTGCTTTGATTGATTATAGTATCTGCAAAAATGTAGCATTTGAGTATATATAAGTGTTATATTTTGACTTATAACCTTGATTAGTGTAATTGTGTGGAATTAAGCAGCGACCTATCGAGTAAGATGTAATTATTTGGCCAATATGAAAAAAGGGTTAATTCAGATAACAGTATTATGTTGCCGCCAATTTTTAATTGCTTTCATTGGATAGAAGATTTAGGAAAATGAACTTGGACTTGGATTCAGAGGTTGAGTTTGAGTAATAACTACACATAGGTATATAAACCCACCAATTATTTAAAGATTAATATTTTCATGGTTGTGTTTCAAATGTGAGAGCGTTATCTTTTGACTTTTGAGTTCTCCTTGAGCAATGAAAAGGATAGTTGACCATAGATTTCTGTACGTGTGACATGGAAGGGGCTTGTTAACTGTGTCCACTTTTCTCTTAGCATTATTTGAACTAGAAGAGGCAGTATCTTCTCTTTTCTTATATCTTTCTCTCTTGTTTTTTCTTCCATTTTTACCCTGAATTCTAGTATGTATTATATCTGCACATCTGAAATTCCTTTGAAGAAAGCTAACTCATGAGAATAGTTTCATGTGGGTGGTATAAGTTACATGGCATAATAGCCAGCCCGTGCATCGGTTAGATTGGAGTCTATCACAAACATAGACCTACGGGACCCTTTTCCTTATTATGTGACATATGGAAAGGGATTGTTGATATTCATATTCATGCTGTCTTTTTCATAAAAAGACTATAAAGGTTATAAGCTTCTGGTGGGTGCTCTTTTTGTTATACTTGTCTAACCCAAGACCTTGTAACCATCACTTTGCAGATAAAGTATATGTTCTTATTACCTTGATATCTTGCTATTGACAACCGTATGGTTTTCTGTCTTTCCTTTGCAGTTCTTATTTCAGAAATATCTTCTTTTAGGAAAATGAAAAAGCTCACCAGAAATTATCCATCCATAGTTGCCGCTCTCAAAGAGTCTTCCTTACTTGTATGTTTATGGACACTAACTCATTTTTTTTGTTTCGATTATTGCAATATGGCTCCGACTTGCTGATACCATAGAGATTGATTGGCCATGATAATAGATTTGGATATTTTTTTGCCTCTCTCTGGTATGTAATTTCTAGTTGAATCGGATGTTTGAAACCTCTCAGGTTGTGAGTTCTGACGGGAAGAAGGTGAAGCGCCGCAATCCTCTTCCAATCATTGAGGTTAGGGATCCAAAGGTATATCTCTTATGGAACTTAATGGCTTCACACTCATATTTGTCCTTATCTAATTTGTGGTCCCTAGGTATTCACTGTTTTGGTAGAAAATCTTCCAGAGGATCATTCGGTGGAGAATATAAGAAGATATTTGGTGAAGTGGGACGGTATAATTATTACTATTTTTAAATAAAAGCATACATGCTTGTTCATTCTTCTTTCTGTTGTGCATGAGATTTATGTTTTCTTTATGAAATGACTGTTCCTTCTGAATTTCCAGCATAAGAAAATATCAATTCGTGATCCGCATGCTATTGAAGAGTCGAAGAAAAGTGGTAGGGCTGATATCTTGATCAGCAGTAAGGTATGGAATTGGTTTCTACTTTGGTGGACTCTTTTGTTTAATCACAAATTTTGTATCCTTTCCTGATCTTTTTCTCTTTTCTGTTCCTCATTCCAATAACCTAGCCTGTTTAACATTGAGAGTATCATTTTCTTGGATATCAAACAAAGCACTAAAGCTTATACTAAATAAACAGCATTTTGAGTTGTTTTGGGTTGTCAGTTATATATTTCTTTGGCATTTCAATATGCATTGTCATCGTCGGACTGGTTTAGTTTTTTTAATGTAGAATTCACAATGTTTTAAGTTCTTTGAGTTTGGTATACATTGTAAGCATGCCACAACCTTCTTTATAATGGCTGTTTTCATTTATATGTATATATAGCCTTGTTTGTGATCTGCTTAATTTGCCGCTTTCTGGATCTAGTTACATGCTCTGGTGGAGTTTGAGACTGTAGAAGCAGCTGAAAAAGCTGTAAGTATAAAGAACTCTTCAGTTTTTGTAACTGATGTCATGATTAATCTATTGATTAATTGATTTGGAGCACCATCTGATTTTTGGATTAGGTGACTACTTTGAACAATGAACATGACTGGAGAAATGGCATGCATGTTAAGCTTCTTGAGCGAATGGTAATAATTCTTGTTTCTTTTAACTTCTCTTACTTGGGAATAAACTGTTATTAATAAATTTTCATGTTATAGGGCACGCATGGGCAGCGAAAGCAAGCTCGAGAGGATCTGCTCCTGAAAAAAACAGCAATGCTCGAGCACCTGATCAAACAAAATGAGGAGAATAATATCTCAAGTGAGCATCATGAAGATATACCATATGACGAGGTACGCCACGTGTCTTTTTCATGCTTGTACAAATGGTATTAACTAGGGTTTAGCTTTATGAATAAACAAGCTTTCATGCGAGTTATGATATAATCATACTCGACATAACTTTTTTCATATCATTATTTATTACTAATAAAGAAAAACATGAGATTTAAAGGAATGTTGAACCTTTTTGTTTTGTCTTCCTTTTTTTTTTTGATAGAATAAGGCCTCGTTAAAACCCCCTCATATCCTACATGTTACAAACATAACATGAAGGACATTGGAAGGAGGAAAAGAGCGCCTCTAACTTTTATTAATGAGAACAATAATACACCTCCACACCTCAACACTAACAACTCCTTACATAACAAATACCATAATACTGTAAACATAACGCACCCTAATACTCCCTTAATAAGAATAACCAAGGCCTAACACCTTTAAGCATTACAGAAACCTAAAAATCAACCTATACCAGCTTTAGCTAATTCATCCGCTTCCCAATTTGCTGCTCTCGAAATATGCCTCATGATAATACCCTTCCTTTCTTGAATTTGGCATAATCGAATATTCATATTTCAGACTGCAGACTGAGGTAATACTAGGCAATTTCGTTGGATTTTGGATAGAGTTTATCCTTTTAATATTTCTTTGCTTTTACATTTTAGGACGGGGAGCATTTGCCCAAGGAAAAAAACGGGCAGCGATATAGAACAGAGGAAGAGGGAGGAGACAGAAGAATCATGGTACCAATGGACTTGGTATTAGAATAACCACGGCTTTAGCTTTTTGTATTTTCTTTAGTCTTTTTCCATTTCATTATGATTTTAATTTAATATATTACATTATACAGGCCATGGAACTACATCCTCATGCCATGCCCTTGAACTGTCTAAGCCACCCCCGGGCCCTAGAATGCCCGACGGAACGAGGGGATTCACAATGGGTCGTGGACGGCCTCTACTTTCTTAACCAAGTTTGTGACTTTTGTTTTCAGCACCTCTGGTCTGATCTTGCATTCCGTGTTTTCATTATCATGCGTTGTACATATTAGTGACGGTGTTCGGATATGGTTTTGAAGGCCAATTGATTTATCGGTCTTATTAGTGACGGTGTTAGCTTTGTTTATCTTTTGAAAACTGAACATACGAAACGAAACGGCTTGTCCTGTGGGGTTACGTTCATAGAAATGATTACATTTGGTTGAAAATGATTGTGAGAATTGGATTGACAAAATTACCAGCATATTGCGATTCTGTTTGTTGGATTAAATTTGAAGCTCAAAGCTCGATTCGAAAGAGTTTCACTTTTAAATTCCGAGTACGGTTGGAGATTGGTGTATGGTTTCATGTTCATTAAAGATAAACTCCACTCTTTTTGAACAAATAAAATACATATTCATCTCTGCATCTGTTCATAGACTTGGATCCAAATAGCAAAGAAGTTGATTTCATAGAGATCGAGTGTTCGGCTCGTCCTGACAGTTATTCTTGTCAATAGCAACAGTAATAGATAAAGATATAACAATTTTTTAATAAAGATGTGTATTATATTCGGCTATTTTCCGTATTTGTTTATTAAAAACGTGTATAATAATAGACAAATATAAATAACATTTAAGCTTCAGGAGTATCATTTTAAGAGTCATCTTAAATTATTATTATTATTATTCAATTAGGATTTAAAATTTAAGACTTTATATTTTTTAATGTAATTCTCAAGTTAAGTACTTACAAAAAATTTAAATAGTTTAAATGATATATGAAATTTAATATTATTAAATTTTATCGTATTTTAAATATTCCAAGTCCATTTCCATGAAACCATAGTTTAAGTACATCTATTAATTCCGCCAAACACTGTAACTATCTACCATCTATTAGTATTCCTACCCCTTTTTTTATTTGTATTCTACCACCGCTCTGTCAACTGCTTCGGATTTGCACCGCGGCGGAACCCAAAGCTGAAAACGCCGACAACTCGTAGAACCCTCCCCGCCAGAAAAAAGCTCAGAACAAAATGAGCCAAAATGAGAAAACTAGAGGCGTCACCTCCAATTTCAACCCTCAAAGCCAATATCAATACGGCACGTTTCAAGGCGTCGCCAATTACTACCCTCCTTTCCCTCAACAACCTCCGCCTCGGCAGCCCTTTGTTGGATTACCTCACCCCTTCCTCCTCCGTTCTCAGCCTCCAACCCCTATGTCCATGGCTACCAGACCGTCACAGGTACTTAAAATTGCTTATTTTTGTTATTGGCTTATTTTTGTTGTTTTTTTTTTTTTTTGGAATTCACAATCTACTTTGGTGGTTACGCAGTAGTAGTTGATTGGTGATTTGATTGGGTTCCTTGATTGTTAAATTGAATTGGGTTTCTGATTCTTTGGTCTAATTTTGATATTATTGAAGGTTTTCCTGTTGAAGAAGCGGCACCCGTGAGGCAACCTCGCCTTCCTGTTTGCGGTCTTGGAATCGGCTGGTTATTGTAAGTTTTCTGGATTTGATATTTTCGTGGTATTTTGCTTTAATTACTGTTTAACATGAATGCGAGAGTAGATTTTTACATAGATTCTTATGGCCATTTAGAGGTTTTACTGGACATGGTAGATAAGTTGTCGATTAATTTCTTGTTTTGTTATGACAAATCCGTACCGTCATCTGTAAGGTGACAAGCTGTAGAAGATTCATATATTGGTTCTTTTCGGGTTTGCTCATTTATGTCAAGTCCGTATCATATCTGTAAGCTGACAAGCTGTTGAAGATTCAGATATGATTGTTCCTATTGTAGCAGTTCACTGTCTGTTAGGTTATGAAAAAATCACAACTCATGCTACTTGCTAGTACATGGAATTGGCAGACATGGTGAAATTTAGAATCTGGTGAGTTGTCTGAGATGAGAAATGAAATAACATCCGCATTTGACTCTACGGAGTCTTTCGTGTCAATGTCTAGGTAGCTATATATTTTTTTAAGATGCACTATGTTGCTACAATAATTTTCACAGAACAGAACTTTAAAGAAAGAACTAAGCAAAAATTAAGTATTTTTTTCTTGCGTAAAGTTAATCCATCGTCCGGTGATTAGCTTCGGAGGTTCGACTTACTATTAACTATTTTCGGGTAGATTTTTTCTTGGCTTCTTCTTCGGTGGTATTCCCTGGTACGTTGGAACTTTTATTCTACTCTGTACGAGTGGATTATAGAGAAAAGCAGGATACCTCGCATGTGCTATCGCTGTAAGTTTTCATCGTCTATCATTTATTTTCCTATTTGCATATGGTTTCTTTGAATTTCTTTCTTTTCTTGTTCTGTTATCTACTATACCTACCAATCTGTCTGCATTTTGGAAAACAAGAAATAAAAGTTCGGAAACTCGTAAAGAAGTGAATGGAAGTAAATTAACTCGTATTATTTAGTTCGAGTGAACCACCCTATTTTCTATCTAATATTCTAATACTTATTACTCTTACACATTAAATTTTCATGGTAGAATTGGTGCTGTTGTAGTTTTTCTCTTATTGAATTTACATGGTTATAGTCCAATTTCTCCAAGTTTTTACACATATTGGAGGATCATAACCCCGTACCTATATATAATGCGTCAGACACATATTTGAAGAGAATGAGAAGTAAACATAGATCAAATGCATCGGATTGCATGTTGATGTGCTCATTACCCTTTGAAACTAATTCCTTGCAGTCTGTTATCGCTATGATTGTGGTTACCTTTGGTTTAACAAAGGGGAGGCATGCCTGGTGAAGTTATGAAGTTATGAAGCTGGCTGTGCATTGTTCTTTGAAATATATCCTAGAAGTATTGGTGCGTATATTTACATGTAGTTTTCATTTCTGCTGAATTGCTGAAAACATTATGAATGCCAATAGCTTTATAGGTATTTGTAAAATGTTTTTACTTTTGGGCCTGCTGATAGTTTATACTGAAATTTGTTTTTGTTTTGGTATTGATACTTTATCAATCTAAACAGTAAGATACGGTTCTCATAAAACTGGTTCATACATGCCGATATGGTTTACGGTTTATCTTCACAATTTTTTCATCAACCGATGTTTCTTCCATTAAAGCACAGCCCAGATAGAAAATCTGCATAGATTTACAGCAAAGATGGTCTGATACCACAGATTCAACTGCTTAATCCCTTGATCCTTTTCATTTTATTTTTTTTATCTATTTTTCATAATATATTGAAGCTCCTCTCTCTGGGTGGACTTTGTTTGCTATCAGCTTCCATTTTCAATGATTCTGCAATGCTTCTCACTTCTGCAACCATTGCTATGACATCGTTAAGCTTGTTGACGGCTGAACCCACACCCTGTGTTGCCCAACAAATTTCCCTATTAATTCACTGATTTATAACCAAACTAACAGATTTATGTCACTAATCTTGTGTATGTGTGTGTTGCTTACCACACCGGCTGCCCCCGCTGTAATCGCCATTGGCTGTGACAGCACTAAGTCCAGATGCACACGTTACTGGAATCTTGACTGCCCTTGAAATTGAGTATGCTGCTGCTAATGTTGGTGTTGCCTGATTGATCAAACAAGAAAAAGAATTAGTCCAAACTTGCAGGATCATATTTGCTATCCGTGCTCGATATTTATGTTCTATGCATGTTCCAGATTTGAGTATAGGGATATGATCTTTCTCCGAATAGAATACATTCAATTTTGACATGAACATGATACCAGACATCTGCACCCAAATCCAGGTAACTTATTCTGCTTACCTTCTCAATCAAACCAAGGACACCAGATTTTGAAGGAGTTGAGCATTTTCCTCCTTCAGTTTGGATAATGTCAACACCTTCCTTTTCCAGTATCTCTGCAAGCTTGACCTATTTGGAGAGTTGAAAATGGTTAATTTCGAAGCTATTGGAAAGTGGCAGTCGTAGGTATAATAATGAACGACTGCCATTGCTTTAAGCTTTTTATAGCTGCTTCTGGTTTTACCTGATCAGGGAGGCTCAGTGTGTGAGGAACTGTAACTGATAGAGTGACAGAAGGAAGAATGCTCCTAGTCTCCTTCGTTAGCTTTAGTATCTGCATAATATGATTGGCAAAACTTGAATTTGGTAATTTTATATACGAATGTGTTTAATATGAATCTACACTTGCACACCCGTTATATTCAGATACCTGCTCCGTAGAGAAAACGACACCGGTGTCGTAAAATGATCATAATTTCCAATCTCCACCTGCAATTTCCAACCACTTTAATAACATAAGTGAACGGATTCATTCTGATTTTATATTCATTCAAACCGAAGTTCATCATTAAAATCACAAGATTCAATCTTATTATAATGAATATTGAGTTTCCAGATCAAACCATCAGTGCTCCAGCTTCAACTGCAGCAGAAAATGCAGCCGGATCAACCGATGAAAACAGACCTGTAATGAAATAAACATGTTAGAAGCAGGATCCAACATATTACTACGATAAAAAAACAAAGATGAAAAATGTACGAATATTTTTTGTACCAAGATGGATATTTGAAGAAAAATGAGTATATTAGAGGGAAAATGATTACAAATATTGCTAGATAGAATCCAAATTCCCAAACCTAGAGAGCATAGGTACATATTCTTATTTGTTATTTTTTCACTAAACTGATAGATGGTAAATTTTTCAGTATTCAGATCACATATATGAACAATTTCCTTAGAACATGGTGGACAATGGAAATAAAGCTCAAAGAAAGGTTTTGGACATACTGGAAGAGAAGTTAAACTGATGGCAAGTTTCACTAAATCTGGGTCACAAGCTATATCGACGTGAGTTGCTCCACCCTGAAAACCAAATCACAGTTTACATTATTATTCCAAATAATAATAATAATAACAATAAAGTTTTATAAATCAATGGAATCACCACAAGAACCTGACCTTATCTGCGGCAGTACAACAGAAGCCACGTTATCTCTATCAAAATTCTGTAACCCAGAGATAATCTACAAAAAAAAACACTTTGACATCAAATTAAATGAAATTAGACAACAAAAACAGAAACTGGGCTTTTCTTTTTGAAGTACCTTGAGAGCTCTTCGTTCATGGAAGTCTTTCAACACAGTTTCTTTTGAGCTTGATAAAAGAGCTTTTGTTGTAGTTACAGAAGCAGTTTTTCTTAGAGGTTTGCATGGATTTAAAGGGAGAAAGTTGCCCAGAAAT